TACTCTGAGCAATGTTGATATCTTCAGTTTTCCAATCACATGCATGAGATGTCACTGTTTATATTTTAATGTCTTTCCTTTATCACTTTGGTTAATTCATAAGAATTTTATGGTATTACAAATGGAAATATTCAGTTTCTTTTTTGTTAGTATATGAACCACAAATGACTTATGAATGTTGACTTAAGGTTATACTAATTTAATTAATTTATTAGCTATAATGTGTATGTGTGTGCACATGTGTGTGCATGTGAACGCACGTGTGTGTGTTTGTGTGTGTGTGTTTTCAACATATAAAGTTTTGTCACTGGTGGACAGAGATAAAGCTTACTTTTCTAGTTTGGATGCCTCTACTATTGTTTCTAGCACTTTTAATATTTATCCTGTTTCTCTTTTCCCTCTGGGAGTGTAATGTCAGATGGCTAACATTACTGGTCACCGGTCCCCGGGTCCCCAAGGCCTTGTTCAGTTTTACGTTTATTATGCTTTTCTCCTGTGCGATTGCTTTTAGTTCCCATCCTTCTGTCTGAGCTTCCCGGTCCGTGCTGTGACCACTCTTCCACTAGTTTGCTCCCTGAATTTATTGCTCTTAATTTCTGATTGCTCCTTCGCATCTTCTCTCCCTTCACCCAGACTTGCTATGTGTTTTTCGTTTGTTTGGATATTATTTGTAGTTGCTCACTGAAGCATCTCGATAATGGCTGCTGTAAAATCACCTTCAAATGATTCTAACAACTTTACCATTGCAAAGCTGGCATCTGGTGGTCTCTGGCAAAGATCAAGACTGCTTCTTTGTATGGTGAGTGATTTTTTTTTTTACTGAAATACGGAACTTTTTGAGGATCTGAATTTATGCAAACCTTGTTCCATCCAACTGCCCCTGACACCACTCTGGAAGGGGGTGGGAGGATGACACTTTGTTGGTAGCAGCCAGGGGCACGAATCCAGGTTTCTCACCCAGTTCTTTGCCACTATGGAGTTTAGAATCACTACTAGGGAAATAGGTGCTTCTTTGCTTTAAGATGGTTTAATCACTATGCTTGCATTTAGTCATCACTTTTTTCTTCTCCTCCTCTTTTATACAATTTAATTTTCAAAATGAGTATGGTGTGTGTGTGTGTGTGTGTGTGTGTGTGTAGCGTGTGTGTGTGTGTGTGTGTGTGTGCACATGTGAACACACTCCCATGGACCCACAGAAGTCAGCAGAGGGTGTTGGATTCTATGAAACTGTAGTTACAGGAGGTTGTGAGCCTTCTTTTGACAGTGGGTGTTGGGAAATGAATTCATGTCTTCTGGGAGAGCAGCACACACTTTTAAACACTGAGTCATCTCTCTAGCCACATTTCCTCTTTCTTGGTGTTTAAAAACACACACCTGATGTTATTATTTCTTATTAGAATTGAGTAGGCAACATCCATAAATATCAGAGCCAGGGGCTTTAATGGCATCGATGGCACTTATAGTGTATGTCCCCATGTCCTTTTCCTCTTGTCCTCTTCTCCTCCCTCTCACCGACCCACATGCCAAGTTGTGACCCTGCATGCGCAGAAGGGCTGGACGTGCTTGAAGAGTCTTAGAAAGACTTTGGGGGCTTCTACACAAGACTGTGGACCTGTTTACTTTCCTCTGGGGAGGCAGAGGCTCTGATCAGATTCTTAAATGTGAACCTGAGCACAGAGATTAAAAACTGCTACAGACGTAAGGAATGGGAAGAGTAAAATTGCACCAGCTGGCTGTTGTGAAGGGTTGGAAAGCAGGGTGCAGACTGGAGCTGAGACCAACGTGGTTGCGCTGTGGGATCTGCCTGCGTGAGCAGGTGCAGCTGACAGCATGCAGGAGTGGAAGGAGCAGGCAACACGAGGGCCGTCAGAAAGTTCTGACTATGGCCTGCGTCTTCCGCACAAGCCACATCACCCATAAGCCCACACGGTGTGGACTGGATCAGCGTTGTGTTTGCGGCTGAGGGTGTTTGATGCCCCCAGCTGAAGCGCTATGGTGACAGCAAGGATTCAGCCCCCACTGAAGAACCAAGAGAGCCAGACATGCTCTCATGTCTCCCCCAGCTTGCCTCCAAAATGGCATCAGGAATTCATCTGGGACTTGAAGGCATTTCTGTATGCTGAGTGTTTCCAGAGAGCATCACCTACTTAAATGGGACAGTTGAGAGAAGGGAGGAGCCTTAGGTTCTAGTGTAGATTTTTAAAAACCTTTCCCATGTCTATCTCCTCCATTAAACCGTAGGGGTGATAATGGGTCTCATTCAGAGTAGCAGTGTTAATTTAATCAGCAACTCATATTGAATTAAGTGGGATACACAGAACTGGCTGTGCCTCAGAGAGATTTAAATGGGCTTTTGCACCTCTCTAACTTAGTGTTTCATTTTCCAACATGAGCGGAAACACCTGTCTTGCCTTACAGCTGTCATCTGTCATGAGGACCAAGTGTAACCACGTATGTATGAGCCCCACATAAGCTGAAGGGCCAATCTGATCACGTATGAAACATCTACCTACACGGCAGCTCCGGGCTGGGGACATGATATACGTGGGAATATATCACTACGTTGTTGCTTTCCTTTGGAACCTTCACTCAGCAGACCAAAGGAAGTGTTTTCGTCTAGCTGGACTCACTGGTGGGCACATACTTGACCAGACATGAGAAGGGATGTTCTCCCCAAGACTGCAGGAGATTGTCCTTGCATTTATCTGGGGAAGATGCCCAAGGAGGAAGGGAAAGAGAGGGACACCTCCAGGAAGCTCCAGTGTTGCTCCCATTGATTGACACCTGATGTCACTTAGGAAGTAGAAGCAGCCAATGTGGCTAGCATTCAATACAAGTTGGCATTAATAATCATTTAGGCATTCATCACCTTTCTTGTCTAAAAATGTCATATGGGCTCAGTCAGCCTCTAGACACTCCCTGGGAAGGCTTGCTCTGGCGCCCAATCCTTCTATCACCGCCTTTCTGAATCATGAGTACTGGGTCCCAGAAGACCCTTCAGGTGCCAAAGACTTCCCAAGAGAGCCCATAGTCCAGGCCTCCTATGACCCACCAGTGCAGGGACCAGATAAGCACCTGACTGCCATGGACTGCTGAGAGGAAGTCTGAAGGTGAGGGAAGGCCAAGCCAGGAGAGTCCTGGGCTGTTCCAGGCAGAGACACTCCATAAGAAGGTGAAAATAGCATCGGGCGTTGGTGGCGTACGCCTTTAATCCCAGCACTTGGGAGGCAGAGGCAGGCGGATCTCTGTGAGTTCGAGGCCAGCCTGGTCTACAGAGCAAGTTCCAGGACAGCCTCCAAAGCCACAGAGAAACCCTGTCTCGAAAAAACAAAATAAATAAATAAAAAGTAAAAAAAATAAAAAAAAATAAAAAATAGAAAGTGAAAATAAGTGACTCTTTAGCAATGCATTCCAGCAATAATCCAGGTCTTCATTTCAATTTCCAACACTTACTGCTAAGATTGTATTGACTTTTCTCACTCCTTCCCTTCTGCTTTTTCTAACAACAAACACGCTCTTAGCTCTAGGTATTTTGCCTGATGTTGACCTGGTTACGATACCAATGACTTCCAGGTTGCCGGGGTTGGGAGAGTGGTCCCCTACTGAAATGGAGGATGTACTTCACTGGTAGAGCCAGCAACAGAACCAAGAAAGAACCAAGAAAACAAAGACACTGGAGCCGAGCCCTGAAGGACCAGTAGAGTCCTGTCAGGCCCTGGAGGCGAGGAGCTACATTTAAGGTAGAAGAAATGGTTTGTAAAGACCTAAGTTTGTAAGCCGGTATTGACAAAGGACTGTGGGGACACCAGACCTTGAGCAGAGACCCACTTCCCCTTCAGCCTGGGAGTAGGCAGCTGTAAGACAATGTTTACTAAAAACATGTTTACTAAAAACAATACAATGCCCAGGGCAATAAGTTCCTGGAAAAGGCCTGCCCATGGAAACCGCCCTGACCTCGACCTTGTCCAAAGACTAACCGCCTCTTCTGACACGCCCAGATCAGTTTTTGGTGTCAGAGCAGAACCAGCCAGGGTAGAGGAGAGAGCAGAAGCTTCTCTGGAGGGAGCCTTTCTTAGGAAGTTTTCTTGAACCTTTTTGGGGCCTGCTTAAAGTTTTCTTTACATCATTGAACAAGTCTCTGTGTTGTCAATCCCCGACACCCTCCGCACGATCTCGGACACAGGCCGCAGAGGCAGATGCGACAAAGGACAACACCCTGTTCTGGCAGTGGAGAGGGGAAAGGGGAGATGCAGACACTAGAGACTGATGGCCAGATCTTGTCTACCATAAGAAGAGGCATACTGTGTTCAGAGGATGTGGAGAAGGGTGATTTGTAGGACAGGACACTTGTGCAGTGGTGTTCTGAGACTTACACCAGTTTGTAAGAGTGCCTGTTATATCATCATGATTAAGAGCCTAGGGAGATAGTTCAGTAGGTTAAGTGTCATGCAAGCATAAGGACATGAATTTGAGCCCTAGGATTCACATTACAAGCTGGGTAGATGAGTGGACTTGTAATCCCCAATGCTGGGGAAATAGAGACAGTCAAATCCCTGGCACTCAGTCCAATTAGTGAGCTCCAAGTCAGAAAGATCCATGTTTCCCCCAAATAAGGTGGCTGGCTCTTGAGGAATGACACCTGGTTGACCTCAAGCCTACACACACACCTATATAAACACCAGCACACACAAGTGCACACACATGAACACATAATACACAAGTAGATCGAGTCTATACTGGCAGTGTTAAATGAATTACATTTGGGTACATTTATACCACAGAAATTGGCAAGTGTTACAGATGTTTTTAGAGATGGTTGTTAAACATTTGCTGGCACACTTGTGTGTATGTGTGTGTGTGTGTGTGAGTGTGTGTGTGTGTGTGTGTGTGTGTGTGTGTGTGCCCACATGCTAAAAACAGAGCTCAGCAGTCACCAAGTAGAGGCCTGACAACAGGTAGAGGAAGGAACACCAGGCAGAACCCATGCTTGGCATACTCACCAGCCTCAGATTCTTCATGGCTTGGGGAAACATGCCTTGATGTAGCTGCAGTTTGCCAACTTTCATCACTTGCACACCTCGGACGGGATGGCTTCCAGGGAAAAAGATCCTGGAAGAGATCAAAAGGGCAAAGGGCAAAGAGTGTCAGTAGCTCTCACGTTCGTTTCATCCGAAGACTGGGAAACAGGGGAGTAGCTGGCTGTGAATGTTAATGAGCTCCAGAAGGGAAATTAGTTTGTGATCCAGAAGCCAACACTGAGAGGAACTGATACACAATAACCTTTCTTCAGATCCCTAGAGTACCTTCTGAACTGAGGGTAGGGCAAGACAATACAACTGGATGACTTTATGGTGAACACTAGAAAAGGGAAACCCATCTGGAACTCTGCAAGGAACATCTAGAGGGTGCTGCACTGAGTTCTGGACTATGAATCTGATCCAGGTCTTCTTCCACGGAACTCCAGCATTTCCCAGCTCCATTAATACATATTTGTGGAATAAATGAAAGGATGGGGAAGTCCTGTGTATATGCCAATAAAGCACTGTTGGCCAATAGGGAAGCAAGATAGGTGGGACTAGGAGTTGAGGAGGATTTTGGGAAAGAGAGACACAGGCAGAGACAATGTAGCCCACCAGAGGAGTAAGAGGTAATAGAAATACTTAGATTAACAATTATGGGCTAAATACTTAAGTCAGAGATAGCCAGTAAGAAACCAAACAAACAGCCAATAGCAATATAATTAATACAGCATCTTGTGTGTTATTTGGGAACTACAACTGTGACAGGGCCCAGGCGGATGACAGGGAAGGCTGCATTCTACAATTGGCTACACAGGAGCATTTAACCACAGGCTGCATGGGCTCATAGACAAAGAACAGCTTACACAGGGAGGGCACAGGGCCAGTATTATCCAAGAGATGGCTCTAAAGATGGCCACATGACCATGCAGGCAGGTGCCTCCCTCCTCTGGAGAAGCAGCACCGGAGGGTGTTCTTGCACGCTATCAATATATAATTGTTGACTAAGTGAATGAGCATTTCTCTGGTTCCGAATAGATGCTACAGATGCTGCCACACCTCTCCCCCACAGCCCTCTGAGTCTTGGCTGTAGTACCCATCACGGCCCACCTTTCTACAGAACCTGTGCGCTTACTGTGTCTTGCCATTGGTTAAGGTGCGCCAGTGTTCTATGTTCTCACGACATCCAACATGTAGAAGTAACTCAACTCATACTTGAGGTCTTTCACCTTGTCTTAGTTTCTTCTCCCGTTTCCATAATAAAATACAGTGACGAAAGTAACTTAAAGGAGAAAGGGTTCATTGACTGGACAGCTCCAGGCTGCAGCCCATCCGGGCACAGAATTCAGTGCCAGGGACTCTGCAGAGACAGCAGGTAATATTATGCCCATCCACAGTCAGGAGAGGATAGCAATAAACTCACACACGCTGATGTTCAGCTTGCCCTCTGTATTCTACACAGCGTGGGAGCTCTAGCCCAGGGAACGATCTTGCCCATCATCAAGAGGGTCTTCTTCGACACCAACACAATCGAGACAGTTCCCTATAGACCTTCTCAGAGGCTAAGCTTTCAATGACCCTGCAAAGGTGTGCCCAGAGGCATGTCTCCTAGCTGTTGAGTTGGTACTTTCACAGGCATACAGCACAGCATAGGTGTGGGGGTGGGCCAGAAAATAAGGACTCAGGACTGTGTTGTATCATGACTGACTCCTACAGCATTGTCTATTCTGTCTCCAACAGGCTCTAGGCCAGTGGTTCTCAACCTCCCTAATGCTGCGACCCTTTAATACAGTTCCTCATGTTGTGCTGACCCCCAACCATAAGACTGTTTTCATTGTTACCTCATAACTGTGATTTTGCTACTGTTTTTGGAAGCTACAGGTTCACCAAGGGGTTGTGACACACGAGCTGAGAACTGTTGCTGTAAGTGAATGCCGAAGCTTCTGACATCTGTATGGGATCACGTCCAGGCTCAAGGGGAAATACCACACTGGACAGACATGAGTTTCCCTCAAGGCCCAATGATCCCACCAGACACACAGTCAAACATTCATACGAGAGTCAAAATAACATTACAGGCAGGAGAGTGATTTAGTGCCCAAATCCTGCGAGTCATATATATGGTTCCGATTTGTTGACCTGAGTGGAGGGAGAAAAATGATACAACAGTGAATGGAGAGAACCGGCTGGTGGCTGGGTGGATTGGAGAAAGACACATGGGGTAAGCTGGCCTCTAAGAACTTGGACTGTACTAGAGGAAGAAGGATGGGCATTTCGACAACAGGGAGGACAAGCAGGACACAGTCCCGATGCGGAGACAGAGGCACCTGTCTTTATAGCCCATGGCCACACAGACAGCCCAGGAGCTGATTCCAACAGTGTCAGCCCGTGTGACTCTGCTTCAGCTACCTTCAGCTACGAACCCACCGAGCCCACAGTTAAGCTCCTGCGTAATAGATCTTCTGGATTCAGTTCCCTTGATTCCGCTCCTCCCCACGAAACTTGATATAGAGACCTATCCATTCATGCTCTTAGAAAGGTAGATTGCCAACCTGGGGGCAAGCACTGTGCCACAGAAGGTGGACCGTGCCTCTTTAAAGACCCACAAAGGGAGGGGATGAGAACAAAGCAGACATCTGGGTCCCCAGTCCCCTTCATCTCTGCTGTATGCTCTGAGGTCAACCTCTTGTCCCTTCCAGAATGAACATCATTATGGAGTTGTATGGGCATGATTTCAAAATCCCCAGACAAAAGGCTTAAGTGCTGGACGCCATTATCAGAAGGTAATTGCCCCAGACACGTTCCCTGAAAGGCACACCTGGATTTGGAGTTTTATTTTATTGCTGTGAATATGGTATAGTTAAATTTAAAGGCCAAAAAGTAATTTTATACTAATAATCTCTTAGCTAAGTGGGTGTCTGTCATGTCAGCGAGCAGGAGGAAAGAAAACCTTCGGTTCTGTGATGGCAGAGAAAGTGGTGCATAATTACGCTGTGACAGGTACCTGCCTCGGCACCGGAAGATTAAAAACTGAGTGGAGTGAGTTTCTTAAGGGAGGGTGAGCAGGACTGTGGGGAGTGGGGGGCACCCCCACAAAAATTCAGTGAGCAAGCTCTTAGTCAGGGGCGGCTAGGAACTTTGGTTTCCGGAGGCCCCTGGCTGACATGTGCAATCAGAGTCAGGTCTACTGGCTGCAGCAGCACCCCAGGGAGCTCTGGGGGAGGCTCACTCCTGGGTGGCCCACTTGGGATGTGGGCTTTCCATGAACCTCCCACACAGGGAAGTGACTAGAGAGTGGAGGGTCTGCTGGCCTTCATCTACAGGGCTATCAGATGTCACTCAAGGCTGCACAGAGAGCCTGAAGGTTTGCTGGGGTGGAACGGGAATGGGGGTTGGGAAGAGAGGGAAAACACAGCTGTGAGAGACTGGGTTCTGGGTCCAGTACTTTCAGGCTTCTGCAAGAGCCCAAGGTGCGTTCTTACTCCTGGTGGACATGGAGCCAAGCTGGAGAACTAAGGATTAAGTCACAACACAGACAGGGACATGAGTATCCATCCCTCTGTGCTCCTGGCACAGGTATTGGTGCTTGGGGAGCAGCAAGGACCATAGTGACTTGGGGAATAGCAAGGACCTCAATGACTTGGGGAGCAGCAAGGACAACAGTGACTTGGGGGGTGGCAAGAGGGAGCTGGTTTAGACTGAGAAGATTGGATGCTGGGCTCAGCGTGGGGACACTGGAAAGAACAGGTGGTTGATGGTCAGGGAGGCTGGATGCAGATCTGGAGGGAGGTGCCTGAGGCCAGGCTGGTCACTGCAGACATACCCAGCTCCCAAGTCCTCCTACCAGTGACACTCTCTTGAGGGAAGAATGCTTCACCAGATAGGAAACAGAGAACCAGAACCACTGATGTCTATGTGGGATCACATCCAGGCTCAAGGGGAAATACCACACTGGACAGACATGAGAGTTTCCCTCAAAGCCTAATGATCCCACCAGACACAGACAAACATTCATATGAGAGTTACAATAACGTTACAGGAAAGAGTGATTTAGTGCCCAAATCCTGCGAGTCATATATTCAATTCCAATTTGTTGACCCTAGTGGAGGGAGAAAATGATACGTCAGAGACACATGGGTTAAGGCTGTGGCCACACAAAAAAAGGAGGACTTGAGACGAACAAGGCCACAGAGTTGACTCAACAGGACCTGGGGACCAGACTCAGAAATACCTCAAGAAAAACACACCTGAGAACTATAGAGCACCATGGTCAGCTCACGGGGCAAGCAATCCCACACCCGGAAGGCTGGGCCTAGGACATAAACATTGCCCTCAGTGCTGTTGTGGTGAGTGCAGGGAGGGAAGGAGTCTGGACAGAGAATGGAGGAAGCACAGACCGGCTTCAGCTATGATGGTTTCCAACTGCAGGCACACAGGGTCTCACTCCTGTGTCCAAGCAGAGGGTCAGGGCACTGGAATCTTTGAGAATTCAAAGGACACAGAGAAAAGAAGCCCATGCAGGGCCTTCATAGCATGCCCAGTTTTCTCTGTGTGAAACGGAACCCCTCATCTGGCTTCAACAGTGGCTGAGCTTGCCATTTACAGGGGGGTGAGGCACGTAGTGCTCAGGCCTGCTTTTAACACCCGCTGGTTCTAAGAGGGGAGCTTCACCTGCTTGTTGAATCTACAACTCTGAATAAATATGTAGATTTACCTGTGTGGGTTTTAGCTGACAAATATGGAATGGTGATGGAGCTTGAAAAACCAGTTTACAACTCCTAAAAATCTGGTCCAGGGAGAAAATGTATCACTAGGATAAGAGAAGATGTTGGGGAATCTTCCAGTGGTGGGGTTAGGTTGTTGCCATCTGAGCCCACTCATCAGTCACTGACATGGGGCAACCAGACACTGAGTGCTGTCTGATGGGACACGGTTGAAATTATTTGGCATTACCTATACAGCAACCTTGCCAAACCAAACAGAAACCAACAAACCCAAACAGAACCTAATGGAGCCCATAAAGTTTAATTCCATTTTATGGGAAACACAAGTGATAAAGGAGAGTGTAGAAGCAGCTGGCTGGGCTGAGGCTGTGGGAATCCGCAGAACCTCAATGCAGGGTCCTTAACAGGTCATGGAAGGAACAGGAAGAGATGACAGCAAAAACAGTTAAGATTTGAAAAGACTTAAGAGCTGTAATGAGCACATGTAATACGCAGGCCTGGTGTGTCCTGATTCAGACGGAGCGATGCTTGAAAGGCCTTTCTCAGACAACGAAGGGAATGTGAGCATGGCATTTGGGCGATAAGGAAATGCCCACCTGTTTTGTGTTAAATGATGTAATGTCTGAGATGTGACTTAAATATCTTCAGCAGAGTCCCTTTTCCCAGCAATGGTGGATTAGCTTGCTTCAGACTGACTCCTGCTATGAACAAGAAAAATTGGTCAAACTTATTTTAAAAAACAACCCTGTTTGAAGGTAAGCCAGACCATGGGAGCAGCAGAGGCCTAAGGACTCGCAGTTGTGGAAAAGACTGGAAGCTTAGAGAGGTGAGACTTATGAGCAGAGCTACTTCTCCTTGTGACGCTTTGAAAAGAGAGGCAGGGCCAGGAAAACCAGTCAGCTGAGCAAAGGCTCTGACGGCCTCACTGACAGGGAACACAGTAACCTACTCTGAGGACTCAACAAGGAGGAGGCACCTGAGTCAATACAAGGCTTCCATCAGTGACTCCCAAAGGACTGCAACCTAGGAAGAGTGTGGTAGAACAGAACAGGGCAGCCACTACCAGAATGACTCTCTTAATCCAAAGCTTGCCTGATTTAAGGTGATAGACTTTTACTTTGGTTGCTAGCAGCAAAAGTATATTTCTGTGAATGACAAGGCTTCATGCAAAGTCTCAAGCTGTTTGATTTCTCTGTACAATATTCTGCAGTCAGCCAAACTCTAGCGAGGTGTATAAGAAGGTAACTAATTGTCAGAAGACCAAGGGAGAGGAAATACAGACAGTAGAACAGACTTTTGTACTAAAATATTTAGGTTCTGGGAGAGACTTTTATAAGCCAGGTGTGGTGGTGCACACATTTAATCTGAGTGTTGACTCAGGAGGCAGAAGCAGGTGGATCTCAGTGTGTATGAGGCCAGTCTGGTCTACATAATGAGTTCCAGGACAGCCAGGGCTATGTACAGAAATCCTGTCTAAAAGAACAAAAGAGCCAGCTAATAAGTATATTTGGAAATTTAAATAATAAGAAAGGATACTAGGAAAGATCAGAATTATATAAAAATTGATAACAGAAACTCTAGAAGTGATAACTAATAAGTTACTCAGATTAGTCCTGCCTCTGGGTTTGTGAACTGGAATTCAGGATGAATGAATGAATGAATGAATGGATTTATCATTCACAGGAAATGCATGCTAGCTGGGATCTCAAGGGAGAGAAAGGAAGAAGCGGGGCAGAGAAAAGTCTGAAGCATTAAGTCCTAGAAATTTCACAAATAATAAAAGGCAGCAAAACACAGATTCAAAGACACAGCTTCGTGAAGACAGTTCACCCGTGGGAAAGAGTTGGGAAGGGTTGTCCTCACAGAGGCCAGGCACTGGATATGAAGGCTAGTATCCTAATACTGCACTTCTGTGACTGTCTGACAGTCTTCCTAATTGAACCAAAACAAAACAAAACAAAACTACCTATGCCATTGGGTTTTATTATTCTTCCTTTACAGGTGATAGAACGTTCTCTTTCAAGACCCTGTGCCTTATTGGCATAGGTTCACTGCTCACAGGCTACAGACTACCTTGGGTTGACTGTACTGATGGCGGTGGCTTGGCTACAGCCTTTGAGCAGTAGTACCCTGATGAAATACTGCATATCTTCTGTGTGAAAGTAAGCTTTGTGACAACACCACCCCATGAGAAATTTTCAATTATTTTGTAAGCTTTGACAACCTGGTGCCAAAAGCAGTCATTAAAATTCTACCTTTTACCAAGAAGGAAGGCAGTGAGGGAGGGAGGGGGGGAGGAAGGGAAGGAGGGAGGGAGGGGGAAGAAAGGGGGGAGGGAGGGAGGGAGGGACGGATGGATGGACGGACGGACTCCTGTAACCACGAATCTGCAAAGGTGCTGGAGTGTCACTCCGCTCTGAGCTGTCCATTGAAATGACACACAGAGTGAGGTGCAGCGCTTGCTCTTCCCGCTGTTCCAGACTCAGACCTGACAGCTAAAATGGCAGAAGCAGCAGCTTGCACTCAGTACTGAGAATTGGCTTCAGGACTCCAGTCGCTGGGAGGAATCGGCATTGAGCACCATGGGTAACTAGGACAAGGCTAAGAGAGCAGCCCTAGAGCCGCCTATGCGCCCCCGGGCTCTGTTTAATTTAAAGCAGCTGTTGTATGGAACGTATTTATGTCTCCGTGACAGGGAAGCTTTGATTTGTAACAAATAACTTCTTTGTTGTTTCCTTCTCCTGCTCCCTCTGACCCTCTCTAACAGGAAACAAAGCCAGAGAGGAAAGACAGACCACACAGCCCACGAAGCCATTACTGTGACCTCACTTAACCCACACTATTAGTTCTGAAAGCTGCTAATCCCCAAGTGGATGGACCATCACCAGTGTCCCCCTCCATGCCTCCCGGTACTGGGGAGATCAGTTGTGATTCCCACTTGTGCCCCAAACCCTCAACTCCTCCTGTGCCTATGACACGTGCTCCCGGCATCCCACGCACTGGGAAAGTCAGATGTGTCTCTGCCACCTCTGTGCACTTCACTTAGGGTGAGAACAGTCACAGAACCACACTGTAACGGGACCTGACAACATTACAATAAAGTCTTTCTTGGGCTTCTTTTATGCCACAAAATTAGCAAGCAGGACCGTTTCTGTACACAAAATAATACATCTCACATTTCACTTCTCGTACACGTTTCTAAGGAGGCCCTTTGCCCAGAAGGTGGGGCTTTCTTCTTCGCACGAACCTGATGATCAGGAGACATTTGTGTATGGTATATTGTTGAGATGAATCTCTAACCAGATATTAAGAATCTGAAGGGGAGCAGGGGATAGACAAAGGCAGCAAGATTGTAGGAGCCAGAGGTAGGTGACATCTGCATCAACACAGTACTTGTCAAGTACCGCAGGGTTGCAGCACCCATGAACTCAGTGTCTGTGACTGCACGCTCCAGACCTGCAAGAGCAAATCAGCCAAAGCCCTAGCCTGGAACGGGGAAAGGACTCACAAAGTCCCACCTCTCGCCCGGGAACTCTTGGCAGCTGCTGACTGCTGGCTGCTGGCGGAAAAGAGTCAGTTTTCTCCAGGGATGTGATCCTGGAGAGGCTGCCCATGTTCCAGAACAGTCCCACACCTGCTTCCACAGAGGCCCATAGAGTAAGTGGCTTATTTTCCAAGAGTCAAAGGCTTACTTGGGTCCTTTTTATATTTGCCTATTCATTGTAAATTCAGTGAAAGTCTGGCTGAGGCTGGAACAGCCAGGCTGCTTCTACACACTGCCTGTTAGGAGTCACGTGCAGACAGGTGAACCAATTCTGAGCCATGATATCTGGGATTTGATGTTTCTTTAAGGAAACTGAACTGAGGACCGAGTGCCCATGGCTTACATCTGTAACTTCCAGACTGTCTCTGCATCTGTGCGTGGTCATGCCACCCTGAATGTGCTCCCTACCTCACCCAATGATTGTCTGACTCTTCACCAAAGGCTAGATTTCTGTACTGGTTTCTCTCCACTCTGCCAAACCTGCTTCTCCTGCCCACACGATGCAGAGTAGGAAAACTGTCCTGCAAGCTGGACAGAATGCCAGGGCAGAGGGGACAGCATTCCTCTTTAGGTCAATGGCTTTCTTTTTAGTACTCCTAATAGTGACACGATTGTCCTTTGCCTGTCTTTAACCTGTTTCATATGTTGCAACACCATTTTAAGGGAAGAAACATCTGATGATGTTTTTAAGTGTTTTAGAAAGGCCAACCATGACAACGAATTCTAGAATGACTGTACATTAGTTATTCAGTTCTGGAGAGAACATGGGAATGGCATTTTTATCAGGACATTTTCATTAGTCCTCTACAGTCTGTTCTATGGAAGCCAGCTCTGAGGTTGAGTGTGACCACTGAAAATTCTTGGCAGCTGAACACTGACGTGACTGTGCCATTCTGTCACTACTGTATTGGAAGGAGCTTGCTAGTGGAGTTTGAACATTTATTTTTCTAAGATTTTAAAAATGTTTATTTGAACCTGTTCAAATTTGTAAAACTTTGTTTCCACGGGTCGCAGACTAGGGATCATTCTTCTTCTTTCTTGAAAAGTTATGTAAAATGTTGAAGTCTGCAAAAAATGCAGTTAATTGCTATGAGATATTAAGAGCTAGAAGGACCTCTAAGAAGCAAGTAGGATAGTACGATGATTGTGGGGCTGGCAGGATGTAAGAGCAAGCCTAGTGTCTATCACATCAATGGATCCAACGGGAAATCCTCCCCATCAGCAGTGGACAGGAATGGATAGGTGGTATGTGATACAGATGAGCCTCTGCAATATTATGCCAAGTGAAAGAATGCAGTCAAATGCATCGAGTGCTGGCTAGTTTTATGTTAACTTGACACAAGATAGAGTCGTCTGAAAGAAGGGAAGCTCAACTAAGAAAATGCTTCCCTAAGATCGGGGTTAGACAAGTCTGTAAGGCATTTTCTTAATTAGTGATGATGGGCAAGGGCTCAGACATTGTGGGTGGTGCCATCCCTGGGCTGGTGGTCCTGGATTTGATAAGAAAGCAGATTGAGCAAGTGATGAGGAGCAAGCCAGTAAGCAGAATCCCTCCATGGCCTCTGTATCAGCTCCTGCCTCCAGGTTCCTGCCCGCTGGAGTTCCTGTCCTGACTTCCTTTGATGATGACCGTGGAAGTATAAGCCAAATAAACCCTTTCTTCCCCATGTTGTGTTGGTCAAGCTGTTTCAGCAATAGAAACTCTAAGACACACTCTATGATTACATTGGCATGAAATTCCTAGAAAAAGCAAAACCACAGAGGCAGCCTAGAGCTATGTCAGGGAGCAGGCACTGACTGCAAACAGGCAAATGAAACATTCAGCGGTGGGGGGGGGTGTGTGTATTCTAAACATCAATTATAGTGCCTTCAGTATAACTTCCACACATTTATAAAACCCAGAACTGCATACTTAAAAATAACTGAACTTTGTGGTATATAACATTGTGAGAAAATGAAATCATTTAATAGGCAGGTATTCTATTAACAACATTTTTTATTTTTATTTATTTAATTTTCTTTTTAGCAATCTGGAAACTAAGCCACAAAGAGATTGAGTAAATTGAGAGAAATGGTAGAACTATTAACTTTTAAAATGTAAAGTGTCAAGCAATACCAATACAGATTTAGGGTATACAATGCATGTACATGATGTAATGATGAAATAAAAATAACTAACACTTCCATATCTTCCAACATTTAACATCAATGGGGAACCGTCAAAGTCTTCTGGCTGTCTTGAAAGAGATCACGAATGCTATGGACTATATGTAGTCTATCATAGTGCAGAAAACAAGAGCTAATTACTCCTTTTACTGTGTATTGATAAAAATTTTCCTAACTTATTTCTCCTTCCTACCTTTCTAATGAGCACTTTGGGATGGATTTAATAGATCCTGGCAGAATGAGTAGCTCTAAAGGGCCAATGAAACCCAGTGTCACTGGTTAACTGCCGCAGGACCCGGCTAGCAGAGGTGCTTCCTCCTACCCCGTCATTTTATAGTACACAAACAGAGCTGTGGCACACTGCCCGAGCCTTCCTATATCCTCTCCTTCTTATTTAATAGACTCCATGGTTTGTGCGCATTTTGTTATTGTTTTTCTTACTAGATTTCTGTTTTTTAGTTTTTTGAGAGAGAGAGAGAGAGAGAGAGAGAGAACATGGAGTTGGATAGGGAGGGTGGTGGGGAGGATGGGGGAGGGGAAAGAATATGATCAAAATACACTGTATGAAAAAGTTAAATAAAAATAGCTAATTTAAATATATATAATTAGATCATTTTCCTCTTTTATTTCTTCTCTCCAACTCCTCCCATGCCCCCCATCTCCCTCTCAAATCAATGGCCTCTCTTTCTTTGATGTTTATTATTATACACACACACACACACACACACACAGACACACACACACACACAAAACCAGCTGAGTCTACTTTTGTTGTTTGTATTTGTATGACTTCACCCAGTTAAAAAATAGGTTAGGGATCTACACAGAGAATTCTCAGTAGAAGAAATACAAAATGGTTTCTTAGAAAGTGTTCATCATCCTTAGCAATTGGGGGAATACAAATTAAAAAATCTTCGAGAGTTCATCTCACACTAGTCAAAATGGCTAAGATCAATAAAACAACTACCCCAAAATGCTAATGAGGATGTTTGGGGAGGGATCCCACTCTTGGTGGGACTTCAACCTGAACAGTCACTCTGGAAATCAGTTATGGGGAATCCTCAAAAGCACTAAATAAATCCACCTTACAGCCCAGCCATACCACTCCTTGGCATATGCCCGAAGAGCTCAACATCCTGCTCCGCTGATATTGCTCAGCCATGTTCAGTGCTGCTCTATTCCCAATAACCAGGAAATGGGAGCAACCTAAATGCCTGTCAGCAGATGAGTGAATAATGAAAATGTGAATACTATGGAATACTGTTCAGCTGAAAAGAAAACTGAAATCGTGAAAAGTTCAGGTAAATATGAGCAGATAGTATGACCAGGTGTAAAGACCTGATGTGTGGGGCTTGAGGGGGAAATAGCAGGAATAGGTGATATGAAGAGAGAAATGAAAATCGGGCAGGTGGCTCCACCTGGGGAGGTTGGGAGAGAAGGGACAAATAACACCAATCGGGAAGTCTGAATCTTTTTCTCTAACACTAATGCTAACACAAGGATGTCCACTGTCACCACTCCAATCTATTTAGCTCAGTGCAGAATTACAGCCAGGGCAGTAAGATGGGACAAGAAGAGGACATGATACATGGGAAGGGAAAAAACTGCTTCTATTTATGGATTACATGTTTGAAAATAGGTAGAAGACAGACAGAAAATACCAAGCAACTTTTTAAATCATCCCAAGAAGCCAGGCTTGGTGGCACAGACCTGCAGTCCCAGATGCATGAGAAGCTGAGTCAGAAATACTGTAAGTTTAAGTATTTAAACTTAAATACTGGGATACAGACTGGTTCAAGACAGAGGAAGAGGCCTGCGCTCTCTTTTAAGTCCTGGACATGTCTACTCCTGACCCTTTGTCCCCTGGTTTCCATTGCTCCTCGGGAAACCCAGTGCAGCAGTCAGGCATGCAGGGAGCCTCAGCCATCTACAGCTAAATAAGATTAGCTCCAAATACTCAGTGCTATTCAGAAACTACTCCCAAACACACAGATAGAAAACAATCAGCCCCTCCCTACATCTACACACCACTTTCCATATCTGAATTTCAGAGACAGAGTAGCATAGATATATCTTGCTCTATGACGTCAGGAGTCTCAGCTGGATGGCCCGCCTGTCTGGGAGCATCTCCATCTCAGAACAATTAAAGGACATTCCGTCACCCACACAAATGATTCTACCAGCCCATCCAGTATTTCTGCTATGCTCTAGTGTGCCTCTTCCTGGGGGGCGTCTAATGGACAATTTAGAGAGTATTTCATACCCATTCCCCATTCCTACCTGTGGCTGGGTGGTTCCTCACCACAGGGGTTTGCCCTACACCCTGTGCCCCTGTATTTCTTACAGAGCCTTTTAGAATGCTCATATTCCGCAATTACATTTATTTCAATTCATTATTACATCTACCTATTGATAATATATTTACTAACGTGGGAGGAGCATGTGTGTCAAGGCATACATGTGAAGGTCAGAGGACAACTTGTAGGAGTCAGTTCCCTTCTTCTACCATGTGAGTTTCAGGGACTGAACTCAGGACACCAGGCTTGGCAGCAAGTGTCTTCCCAATTAAGTCAA